TCCAAGGAATAAGCAAATTTGCCTGTTGCTTTGGCCACTTGGCTGTTGTGAATGCTGTTGTCATCAACATGAATGATTGAATATCAACCTGTTTAGGACCCTGCATTCACACTCACATCCACGAGATGCATGTGCCCCTGAAGAGTTAGAAATACAGACAACAAATATGTAAACTTGCTTAAAACAGTGTGTGTGTGTGTGTGTGTGTGTGTGTGTGTGTGTGTGTGTGTGTGTGTCACAATACTGTGGATTTCAAGGGTGAACTTTTGGAATGACACTGTCCTGTTGCAACTTCAAATAGCTGTACATACTGTGTCAACACTGAGTAGATCAGGATGCTAAAGCGTGGGGCTTGGTGGGAGGTCCTTGCTGGCTCTTCTCTGCTCTAGAATCCCTTTCCAACACGTGATCTCACACATGCTTCTTCCCTGGGGATGCTGCTTGCCTGAGCCCTTCACCGGGGGCCAAACCCATAAGGTCACCTACTCTTGTATTAGCCTTCAAAACCAGGAGCCAGAGAAAATTCTTTTCATGAAATTAGAAGGATTATTTGTGAAGAGGGAGAGACAAGTGAGGGTGAAGATGTGGTCAATGTGACCAAAACATATTATATGTATGCATAATCATGTCACAAGGAAGCTTGTTATTTTTGTATAATTAATAAACTATTTCTGGGTTGTGGTGGTACATGTCTCTAATCCCAGCAGTTTTCTTTATTTACATTACCCGGCTTCCATTATTTCATTTGAATTACAAAAATAAACTCATTCAAATGATTTCTTCAAAGTGGGAAAAAACCTAACCCCAAACAAAGTATTGCAGTCATCACAAGTAAAGAAGAGGGTTAGTAGTCAAGGAAGCATGGGAACTTGTCAGGACAACTGGTCTTAGACATTAATCTTGTGTACCCTGAATGGCTTGCCAACTTCACTGTATCCTGGCAACAACTACAACTGTATTGATGCTGGCAATTGCTTTTATAGTCTGTTTCTGGTAACGGTATCTTTATCTGGTTGCTCTCAATAAGATTGTCACACACACACACACACACACACACACACACACACACACACACACACACACAAAGAGGGTTAGGAGGTGGCCGAGCTGTTAGAGATGCTGGCTTTGCAAGCCAGACTGCCAGAGCTTGGTTCCTGGAATCCATGTTGAAACCCCCATTTCCTAGCACATTCCACATTTCCTTTCGTTATGCAGTTCTTTTCCGATGGTTATATTTGGTTTCACTGAAGTTGAAGAATTACTCCAAAATGTGGTGATTTAATACAACAAATGTTACTTTACATTACAGCCTGCAGGTCAGAAGGGTCGGGTAGCTGAGCTGGCTACTCTCACCCCAGTTTCTTTCAAGACTTCAATCAAGTGACATGGCAGGTCTGGAGTCGTCTCAGACAGAGACGGGAGATATGGCAGACCTAAGACAGACAGCAGGTCTCGAGTTGTTTAGTAGGTTTGGCAACCTTGTCTGCTTTGGTAAAGAGAATAAGGAAAATAAGGATATTCGATCACACTGTGGACCCTGAGTTTGCGTTTGTATTAATTAAATAAAATTAACCTTGGGTCAGGAGGCTGAGCTAGCAACTAGTTGGCAGAAAGAAATCGTATAGCATGGGGGCATCCGGAAGAGTTAAGGAAAAGCACAGGAAGTAGTTGGGAGGGATTTAGAGTAGCCCAGCTTTTTTAAGCTTTAGCAGGGTCTTTCGGAGATACCAGCAAGGAGAGAGGGTTACCTAGTTGCTACTCAGCCTCTGAGCTCGAAGGTTTTCATCCCAGCCTTTGAATTTCGAGTCTTATTTATAAATAGAACAATAGAGATTTAGTTCAAGTTACCTTTAGAGACAGCTACAGGGCGGTGCCTGTGGGAACAGAATTCCTGCCAGGTCGCTGTCAGACAGAGAAGCAGGCGGGTAACTGCAGAGTCTCAATTGCTGGCTGAAATAGCAGTAGACTAAGGGGCAGCCACTGTGCTGAAGATAAAACAACAAATTACAGCCTGATTCTTTCTTTCGGGGGAGGGGGGGGCTATTATTCTGCTTATGCATCCACATCACAGATCATTATCAAAGAAAGTCAAGTTAGGAACTCAAGCAGGGCAGGAATCTGGAGGCAGGAGCTGATGCAGAGGCCATGGAGGGGTGCTGTTTACTGGCTTGCTCCTCATGGCTTGCTCAGCCTGCTTTCTTATAGAACCCAGGACCACCAGCCCAGGGATGGCAGCACCCACAATGGGTTGGGCCCTCCCCATTACTAGTTAAGAAAATGCCCTATAGGCTTGCCTATAGCCCCATTTTTATGGAAGCATCTTCTTCTTCTCCCCCCCCCCCCATCATAATGTTTTTATTAATTATTTGGGACAGCTTGATTCTTAAGATACCCCGCAGTAAGATACTAGTTGAGTAGACTGCAGTAGTCACATGGCCATGCTTGAATTCACGGGCACAAAGGTATAGTCCTAGATGGCCTCTGTTGTGTTAAGATGTCTGGTGCCCTGCAGAGGCTGAGTGTGGGAGGCTTGATCTCAGCTGATGGATGGTTGCAGTAAGTGAGCGGTGATTGGATCATGAGGCCTCAGCCTCCACCAATGGATCAATCCACACATGGCTTCATAATTTAATAGCCTTATCAAAAAGTGAGGGAAACTTTCTAAGATGGGGTCTCATGGTTGGAGGACACTGGAGGTACTCTTTGGGAGCTATGTCTTGTCCTCAGATCGGCTCTCGGTCTTGCTGCTCAGTGTTAGGAGGGAAGCTTTGCTCTGCCACATGCACTCTGCGGTCTCGTGCCATCCCCCATGGGCCCAGAAAGAACTTGTCAAGACTGAAACTCCGAAACTGAGTGGACCGAAGTGCTTCCCACTTAAACCCTCCAGTATTTTTCACAGAGATGAAGTCTAATGCACCGTAGAGAAAAGCAAGCATCTGAATCCATTTTTGAACAGCACTAACATTTTAATGCTTTGACAAAGACTCCGGGATCCAGAACAATACATTCTTAATATTTCAGAATGCATGCTTAAGACGTTTTTCTTTTTCTTTTATTTTTCCCTTTTAGGTAACAAAACGGTGATGGTTAAGTGTTAACTGACAACCTCGTGCTGTCTGAAACCAATACGAGAACCGGATTTTTGTCCACACTCTTTATCCTTGGGATTAAAGACTGAAAATTATTAACATCCTTTTAACATTTTGCTATAGCCAAGTTCAGGGCGTGCATAGATGGTGGATATCCTTAACCCACCCTTGGCAAGGATGCTTAAAGCTGGGAGTGTGGGGATCCCCCTTAAAGCTGGGGGTATGGGGGTCCCCTGAGCACCCTTGAAGAAGGTATCTACAGCCAAGGAAGGCGAGTGCTCCGGTGATGGTGACGGGGGCACCACTGGGCAAGAAACAGCGGTGTCCACGCACTGTTTTATTTTCGTATCGAGTTCTCTTCCCACCCTGACCCGGCCTCTCCTGGAGCCACGCACGTGGAAATCAGTGTCAAGCCCTCAAGTGCTAGTGGCCCCAGCAGTTTCCCGAGGATTGAGTTTTGAGACTGTGGTCATCCCTGAGGAAGGTCACCTCAGTGTGCAGCCTCCTTTCGGTCACTGATCTTTTGCTGTGAATGTGGAGGGCGACAGGGCAGAGGGAGAGGAGTCCACGCGTGGGCTGCGGGGCAGAGCGCTGGGCAGCAGGGACTTGCGGCTGAGCACAGAGTTGCCTGGCGGTGCTGGAGTGGGTTTCCCGGCGTGACACGCAGGGGTCGCGGGGCAGGGGACCTTCCCGGATTGTGCAGGGGTGGTTCCCTGGAGTGGGGGCGGCAGGAGTGACGCCAGAGAGTGAGGGAGTTCAGCGGGCAGTGTATGGAAAGCTGGTGGAGAACGTGGGTTTGGATGAAAACGAGATACTGTTGGTGTCACGGGTGCGGCAATCTTCCCGTTAGACGCACGTTAGCTTGCGTCATCAAGCAAAAGCTTCAATAGGGTTATTTGTATGACAACAGCCGCCGGTCCTGGTGGCGCAGGCCGGTAGGATTTGCTGAAGGAGGCAGAGGCAGGTGGATCTGGAGTTCGAGGACAGCCTGGGATACACTTTTTTTTTCCCCAATTTTCAACGAGATTAATCCATACATCGGCGGCTACACGACACCCCCAAACAAACCTCCAACAGCCACAAGCCGCTCCCCATGCTCCTTCCAACCGGTTCCGGCTCGGCTACCCGCGTCCCCACCCCACCCAACCCGCACCAGCTCCTCCGGACGCACAGGCGCCGGCTCCACACCGCAGCTCCCAAACCCTGGCCACGCACCGACTCCCACGCCCGCCCCCCGCGCCTGTCCACGGCCGCACCGCGCACTCCTCCCGGGACACGCTCCCCTCCCTACAATCCGCCATCTCAGCCCTCCCGACCCTTGGGTTCCTTTCCTCTAGTCCTGCACACGCGAAAGGACAAGTCAGCAGCCACCGCTCAGAGCAGAAATGTTCGCGGCAAAGAGTCCGTCGTTTTTTTGTTTGTTTTTTAACTTCGGGTCTTTGGTTTTATGTACAACGGGAAAAGATGAGGTTTATTTAGATTGGAAAGGAGAAAGTGCCCGGCGGCGTGGTGGTTGCGCAACGCCTGCTCACTACATGAGGGAAAGAATGCAAGTGGCAGTCGGGCTGGAGAGATGGCTCAGCCGTTAAAGGCTAGGCTCACAACCAAAAATATAAGAGTTCGGTTCCCAGCACCCACGGCTGTCTCTCCAGCCACCTTTTTTGTCTTACACCGCACAGGGACAGCCTGTGTAGAAAGAACAATCTTAAGGGAGGGAAAGGAAGGTAGAAAGTTAAAACAAAACAAAAAACAAAAAAGGAAATCCTAAGTGTAGTCGCTGAAACTCTTCCTCATTTACTCCTAAAAGCCCAGCCTTTCTACTAATTTAGCTGCCCTGAAATTCTCAGTCTGTTAACTGGTTTGAAAGCCAGCTTCAAGCCAGCACCACTCCCAGTGCTCAGGGACACTCACAGACACAGAGAGCCACACGTCTCCGTCTTCTCTGCACCATCTCCCTTCTGCCTGGTGATCTTGACATCAGCTTCAGGGCTCGCAGAGTGGGGCTCACAGCGAACCCCCGGCCAAAGAGATCTGCATTCCCACACGCCCTCCGCATCCCACCCTGCATGTGACCCACGGACGTGTGCTCTGTGTCTGCTCTGTTCACTTAGCACGATGACCTCTTTCACCTTCATTGGACTCGGTGCGTTTTCTTCCTCCCCCATTGCTGCTGCCGGCCACACGGAATCTCTACTCTTCATTGTCCTTGTCCTCTTCATTCCCCTCTTTTCCTTCTTTAAAACAAAAAAATTTTTTTCCTTTGTACATACCAATCCCAGTTCTCCCTCCCTCCCCTTATCCCACCCTCCACCCTCTCCCATCCTACCCCCATCCACTCCTCAGAGAGGGTAAGGCTTCACTTGGGGAGTCAACAAAGTCTGGCATACTAAGTTGAGGCAGGATCAAGCCCCTCCCCGGCTGAGCAAGGTGTCCCACCCTAGGGAAAGTATTCCAAAAAGCCATTTCATGCACCTGGGATAATTCCTGGTCCCACTGCCAGGGGCTCTGCAAACAGATCTAGCCACATGACTGTCACCCACATTTAGAGGGCCTAGTTCGGTCCCATGCATGTTCCCCAGCTGACAGGCCGGAGTCCATGAGCTCCCACCAGCTTGGATCAGCTGTCTCTGTGGTTTCCCCCATTGTGATCTCGACCTCACTAGCTCCTGTGATCCCTCCTCTCTCTTTTCAGCTGAAGTCTAGGAGCTCAGCCCAGTGCTTTGCTGTGGATCATTGCATCTGCTTCCATCAGTTACTGGATGTAGGTTCTATGATGATAATTAGGGTACTCACTAATCTGATTGTAGGGGAAGGTAAGTTCAGGCACCCTCTCCACTATTCCTAGTAGTCTAATCTAGAGTCGTCCTTGTGGATTCCTGGGGATTTCCCTAGCCCCAGGTTTCTCCCTAACCCCCTAATGGTTCCCTCTACCAAGATCTCTTTCATTGCTGTCCCTCTTCATCCCTCTCTCCATGTGACCATCTCAGTCCCTCCTGTTCTCATCCCTCATCCCTTCCCTTCTATCCGCTCCTCCCGATTTACCCAGGAGATCTTAACTATTTTCCCTTCCTGGGGCTCTCCATGTGTGTCCCTCTTAGGGTCTTCCTTTTTACCTAGCTTCTCTGGGGTTGTGGATTGCAGCCTGGTTATCCTTTGCTTTGCATCTAATATCCATTTAAGAGTGAGTACATACTTTTCCTTCTTTTAAAAATATATGTTGTCATTTCATGAATCTTCTCTGTCTTAGTTTGCTTTCTATAGGTCAGAAAAAACACCATGGCCAAAAGCAAGTTGGGGAGGAAAAGGGTTCTCGAGTTATTGCTCAGGTTCTGGAGTGAGTGCTTGCCTGAGAAGTGATGTTCTGAGGTCGATACAGAGAGTATGCATGCTTGAATACACAGACACAGACACACACACACACACACACACACACACACACACACACACGGAGGGAGGGAGGGGAGGAGGGAGAGAGAGAAATATCTATCTATATCTGTATCTATCTGTCTATCTATCTATCATCTATCTATCTATCTATCTATCTATCTATCTATCTATCTATCTATCTATCTATCGAGAGTAACTCGGGAAGAGACGACTGGAGACGTCCTTTCAAATATATAGGAAATCACAATGTGCCCACTCAGGTTGCTTGGCGGCCCTGTTTTTCCACGATCCACAGGGAGATGGTAGGCTTGGCAACGTTGTCTGCTTTGGCAAAGAAAATAAGGGAAATTACACCCTGGTTCTTAAAACACCCAGCAGTAAGATCCTAGTTAAGTAGACTGCAGTAGTCACATGGCCATGCCTGAATTCCTCCGAGCATGATCTGCCGCTGTGAATGTGGAGGGCCGCAGGGCAGAGGAATTGCAAGTGTGCACGGAGGCAAGTGTGGCCTGTGTTGCAGAACGGACTCTGGCTTGGGAGCTGCCCCAAGTGTGGGAGTGTATTTCTCAGAAGGACCGCCAGGAGGCACTCCCCCTCGACAGTTACGTCATCAAGAGAAAGCTTCAACTACTAAGTTAGCAACAGAAGCTCCCGCCGGCTGTGGTGGCGCACGCCGGTAGGACATGCTGAAGAGGCAGAGGCAGGTGGATCTGAGTTCGAGGCCAGCTTGGGCTACACACTTTTTGGCGCTCAAATGCACAGAGTGGCTCTAGAGTTACTTTCGTTGGCAGGGACCAAGCATTATATATATATATTTTAATGCAGAGTTAAGGCAGGTTTGCTTCTCTCAGGTATACCGTGAGTTTCCTTCTTGTAAGTACCTAGAGATATTGGGAGGACCCTTCCCACCTCAACCCGCAAAATACTACTTGTTGGCCACAAACGAGGTGATGTTCACAAGGGAATCTCTTGATTTCCTTCAGGACACGGTATATATTATGCGAAGTAACATTTCAAAAACGGAGAACTCAAAATTGAAAAGTCCGATATTACTTCTTTGATCCAGTAGAAGAAATGAACTGACCTTATCACCAGCAGGGACGTCAGAAAACATTACCAGGGTGTAGCCACTCCCTCCTTTTGGTCAACATGGATAGATAGATATACACACGGAGCAAGTGTAAGTGACCCGAAACACACGTAGAGCCGAGTGGAAGGGGCGAGAGAGAGAGATAAAATTCTTATTTCACACCTCACACCTCCAGGCCACCAGTCCCACAAATGAGGATGCGACAAGGACAGGCTTCCCGCGTCCATCTTGTCCTGCCCTTGTCCTCCAGGGGGAGGGAGAAAGGAGACCCCATCCTTCTCCCACGGAGGCAGAATTCTAAAGCAAGGGAAAGACAGCCTAGAAATAAAACCACAGAAAAGAGATCTTCCAGCGGGCAAGCGCTGGGGCCCAAGGCAAGTGAGCTTGTTTGAAGGGGTTTTCCTGCAGTGGCCCAAAGGGACCTTATGTTGCTATTTATTATAATCTAGGAGCCTCTGCATGTCATAGAGACATGACTGTCAATCGTCTTGCCCATGGGGTGTGACATTTATCAGTTGAATCTCCAAAAAATGAAAGCTACAAATTGCAGTTGAAGAAAAATCTGAAGAAAGAGACAGAGAGCTTGCCTGTGATCATCTATATAACCCCGGAACCTAAGGTATCTTAGGAGGTTCCCCGTTCCCCCATTTCAGACCTCTTAGGCAGTGAAAACCCCAGCCACCCAGATTGCTTTCATTTGTGATTACTAAAGCATCAAGTTTTAGACTTATACTTTCGTACAACGTAAGAAAATCTTTTTTTTTAAATATCAAACAGGCTTGGGATGGATTTAAAAAGGAAAATAGGAATAAATAGGAATCAATACAGTTTTTATAATATTTTTTTCTGGATAATACAGTGGTAAAAAATGCAATCATAATTATACGTTTGGCCTTGGAGACCAAAAAAACTAACCAAAAAGACAGTCAGTAAGAATTAGATTTTTTTTTGAAAATTTTTACCTAAATTATTTTTGTTACAGCTTGAGAATCTGTGACATCAAACTGCCTACAACATGTGGTAAAAACTAAATCCTCGAGCAAGTTCTTCCTCTATGAAACTGTTATGCTTTGATATTGTTCACGATTTTGTTTCATTTATAGTATCAACTGTATAGGTACGTTCATGCTTCCATGGGAACCCAGTTGTTTTCTCCTGCAGGAGTCTATGATTAGTTCTGAGGTACTTCTAAATATCCTGTTACCTAGTGAGAAGGTCTTCTTATGCTCTGAACTAAAATTGTCCTAAACTTTAAAGATCCTAAATCTTAACCTAAGGCCTTGTTTAGTTTTTTAAAGGTTAGTGATCATTGTTTTATGTATTTAGCTTCTTTTTTAGTTTTGTGCTTTCCCTTGGTGTGAGAAGAGCTCAGAGTCTGGCAAGGAAAACAGTTAAAAGAGCCCCACAAGAGCCTGTCCTTTATTAAAGGCATTGTTTATATACAGCATAAAGACAAACTTTAAACAATATGTCAAACTTCCAATGCATAATTAGTAATAAATGCACGTCAGCTTCATAGCTGAAAATACAGCTGTCTGTGTCTTGGACATTCTCTTCAAGGATGTAAAGATCTGTGCTCAAAGTGCACCTCAGGCATGCACAAGGCCTCTCCCTAACTAGTCAGCTACAGAGCACAGCCCCAAGCATAGCATGGGGGCCCTTGTGACTCCAGGAAAAAACACTATGTCTCTCTGGAACTCAACTTTGCCTAATAACCCTTTATGCATTGTCCTTTCTGGGATCCATTACAACTAAAAATGATAATGGTCCTTCCTGCTTATGCTAACAAATGATTTGAGAAATTTTACTATTAATCATGTTATTAATATTCCTTACTATCCACAGGGTCAAGCTATTGTGGAACATCACCATCAACTACTTAATTGGCAAATTATAAACAAACAAAGAAACAAATAAATGGGGGTATTTACAACCACCTAAATCCTCACATAGTATTAACTATTTAGCTATATTAACTTTAATTTTTTTTAAATAATTTCTTTTTTTTTTTTTTTTTTTGGTTTTTCGAGACAGGGTTTCTCTGTGTAGCTTTGCGCCTCTCCTGGAACTCACTTGGTAGCCCAGGCTGGCCTCGAACTCACAGAGATCCGCCTGGCTCTGCCTCCCGAGTGCTGGGATTAAAGGCGTGCGCCACCACCGCCTGGCCTAAATAATTTCATTTTAAAAGATAATAGTTTTTCTTCTGCCCAAAAGCATTTGCCCTAGAGGAGACACAACCAAAAGTAAAATGCTAAATAAAAAGAAAGAGCCCGATATTCTAACATCATGGTGAGGGTATGCTTGAGTCCTTTCAGAATATAAACGAAGTCCCAGATGGCTCCTGACCTGATGCTTCTGACCAGGACATCCAGAGACCACTGGACAAATGAAACATCTAAAACACACAACCAGGACATCTAGAGACCACCAGATGAATGAAACCTCTGAAGGCAGATGATAAATCCATCAAGAAGAGATGTCCCAAGAGGGAGAGTAAGCTGATAATTTGGGGAGACACTAGGACTTTAACTCATCAAGCTGAGGCTTTGGGCTTACAGTGAAAACAAACCCAAAGCGATACTGTTGTATTTAATGACTGTATTGCATGTTAATTCTTCTCAATGAAGAATCCAAATGCCTTTTATCAGGAGGAATGAAAGACACACCTGTGATAGGAGACTTATGATACTATTTTGCCATGCTAAGGATTATATATAGGGGTTTATGTGAAATATGTCAAATTATACCTATTTTTCTCACAGCA